AAAACTTACTATATGGTATATTAAAGAGAAACAACTTATTATAATATAGTATATTAAACAAAGAACTTACTATAATATGGTATATTAAACAGAAAGAACTTACTATATGGTATATTAAACAGAAAGAACTTACAATAATATGGTATATTAAACAGAAAGAACTTACTATATGGTATATTAAAGAGAAAGAACGTACTATAATATGGTATATTAAACAGAAAGAACTTACAATAATATGGTATATTAAACAGAAAGAACTTATTATAATATGGTATATTAAAAAGAAAGAACTTACTATATCATGGTATATTAAACAGAAAGAACTTACTATATTGTGGTATATTAAAGAGAAAGAACTTACTATAATATGGTATATTCAACAGAAAGAACTTACTATATGGTATATTAAAGAGAAAGAACTTATTATAATATGGTATATTAAAGAGAAAGAACTTACTATAATATGGTATATTAAACAGAAAGAACTTACTATATGGTATATTAAAGAGAAAGAACTTACTATAATATGGTACATTAAACAGAAAGAACTTACAATAATATGGTATATTAAACAGAAAGAACTTATTATAATATGGTATATTAAAAAGAAAGAACTTACTATAATATGGTATATTAAACAGAAAGAACTTACTATAATATGGTATATTAAACAGAAAGAACTTACTATATGGTATATTAAAGAGAAAGAACTTACTATAATAAGGTACATTAAACAGAAAGAACTTACAATAATATGGTATATTAAACAGAAAGAACTTATTATAATATGGTATACTAAAAAGAAAGAACTTACTATAACATGGTATATTAAACAGAAAGAACTTACTATAATATGGTTTATTAAGGAGAAAGAACTTACTATAATATGGTATATTAAAGAGAAAGAACTTACTATAATATGGTATATTAAAGAGAAAGAACTTACTATAATATGGTATATTAAAGAGAAAGAACTTACTATAATATGGTATATTAAAGAGAAAGAACTTACTATAATATGGTATATTAAAGAGAAAGAACTTACTATAATATGGTTTATTAAAGAGAAAGAACTTACTATAATATGGTATATTAAAGAGAAAGAACTTACTATAATATGGTATATTAAAGAGAAAGAACTTACTATAATATGGTATATTAAAAAGAAAGAACTTACTATAATATGGTATATTAAACAGAAAGAACTTACTATAATATGGTATATTATACAGAAAGAACTTACTATAATATGGTATATTAAAGAGAAAGAACTTACTATAATATGGTATATTAAACAGAAAGAACTTACTATAATATGGTATATTTAAGAGAAAGAACTTACTATAATATGGTATATTAAACAGAAAGAACTTACTATAATATGGTATATTAAACAGAAAGAACTTACTATAACATGGTATATTAAACAGAAAGAACTTACTATAATATGGTATATTAAACAGAAAGAACTTACTATAATATGGTATATTCAAGAGAAAGAATTTTCTATATGGTATATTAAACAGAAAGAACTTACTATAATAAGGTATATTAAACAGAAAGAACTTACTATAATATGGTATATTAAACAGAAAGAACTTACTATAATATGGTATATTAACAGAAAGAACTTACTTTAATATGGTATATTAAACGGAAAGAACTTACTATGATATGGCATATTAAACAGAAAGAACTTACTATATTATGGTATATTAAACAGAAAGATCTTACTATAATATGGTATACTGAACAGAAAGAACTTACTATAGTATGGTATATTAAACAGAAAGAACTTACTATAATATGGTATATTAAACAGAAAGAACTTACTATAATATGGTATATTAAACAGAAAGAACTTACTATAATATGGTATATTAAACAGAAAGATCTTACTATAATATGGTATACTGAACAGAAAGAACTTACTATAGTATGGTATATTAAACAGAAAGAACTTACTATAATATGGTATATTAAACAGAAAGAACTTACTATAATATGGTATATACCGTATATTAAACAGAAAGAACTTACTACGTATAATATAGTATATTAAACAAAGAACTTACTAGTATATGGTGTAATTTTACGTTTTGGGGGGACGTGAGAGCATCGGCTTTGATCCTGCCTGGACGGTGGAGTGTTTTGAAATATGTCATAAACAACAAATTTGGCAAACAAACCCAGTTCAATTTGACAGTAATGTATTGCTGTGAAAAGAACTTTATTAGAAAGATGTTTATAAATAAAAGTGGGTTTAATCTTGGCACACAAACCCAGTTCAATTTGACAGTAATGTATTGCTGTGAAAAGAACTTTATTAGAAAGTTTATAAATAGAAGTGGGTTTATTCTTGGCACACAAACCCAGGTAGAATATTATAAAAAAATAAACTTAAATCCACAAAAAATCTAAAAATACGATTTACTGAATTTGTTATAACTCAAAGGTGAAAATACCTGACCCTAATATTCCCTAATTAACCTTCCCTTATCTGTAAATTTGCAGTAGTTCACACAACTCTGTTATTAAGTCAAAACTGTTTTTCTAGTGTTTTTTGTTTTAATTGGTTCTGACCTTTATTTTCATCCAAAATTGCCTGTTTTTTAGTTGTTGGGGGTTCGGGTGGAGCGTTTTCCAAGAAAAATCATGGCCAAGTGAATACAAATTACACCAAAAAAAAACCACACTAGAAAAACATATAAATAGAACCTTTTTTGGGGATGACCTGACCTGACTGACCTGACCTAACCTAAATCTCACCATATGATGGAATCACTTATTTCTTACCTTATTGGTCTGGTTCATGCCAAATATGTTGGTCTTGACGATATTTACATTCGTTCTTACACTTACTTTACTGAGGTCAGGAGAACACCATGAGATCTAAAAAGTGATATAGCTTGTTCGTTTTTTCCCCCAAAACACACAATCAGCTCCATATAATTTAAGTGACACCCATTGCAGACTTCCATGGTAGGAAATGAATTTGAATTTCAAAATATTAGAGACCCAAAATTACAATAGAATCTGATTGGGCAAAAAATACCACGAATTAAACCACAATTCATTTATGGTATCCCCCCAAAGCTTTTTATTGACCGCGTCACGTGTACGGGATCGCATGCGCATGACGATTTATGAAGGGAACACGCCGAGTGGGAGGTTGGGTAGGCGATAATGGTGGAAGATTAATGAAAGAAAATAGACAAAGATTTGGCATGCGCTATCTCTGTTATTATATGTTTGCGACGGTAATGTAATCAAAGAAAAATTATAGTATCACACCAGTCTTTATTTCCATATTAAAAATAGTTTTTCCTATTATTTTGATGAGTTTCGAACGAATTTGATATTCATTTCCATCGTAAATCACATGCTTTTTAGATCCCCCCTCCCCCCCCGACCTACAATCATAACGGAAAACGTAGGATTTCTTTTTTAGAATAAATAACAAATTATATTACCAACCAACAAAGAAAACCTAACCTAACCCGTTGTTCATGCCCCAGACGCTTAAAGAGCGAACACGAAGGCCTGGAGCGATGCGTGAGCAGGGGTCCAGACCACCTCCGCCATAAGTAAACAAATCATGGCGACACTTGTGATGTGACAGGAAAGTATTAATCTTGAAAAATTAATATTTCGATTATCCTTAATTTCCGGTGGAAATATCACAGAAGAAAAATGTCTTAGAATTGTGTAAACATAACGAGATACATATTTTTAATAAGGAAATAAAGACAGTGGTAAATTTGTATAAGTGCACACAACTCTGTTAGAGAGTAAAAAAATATATTTTCCAGTGTATTTAAGTGTGTTTAGATCGGTTATGACCTTCATTTCCATCGGAAATTGGTCAGTTTTTTTCGATTTTTCTTTGGTGGGGCGTTTTCCGAAAATATAATGGCTAAGCGAATACAAAATACACAAAACACACTAGAAAAACATAAATCTGATCTAACCTAACCTAACTGACTCACCACATGATGGAATCACTTATTTCTTACCGTATTGGCAGTTTCTTCTGTCTTTGGGATAAGGGATGAGTTACCACAATGCCACATATGTTGGTCTTGACGATATTTACATTAGTTCTTGCACTTAGGACACTTTATTGAGGTCGGAAGAGCACCATGAGATCTAAGAAATGCTATACTTTCTTTGTTTTTTTTCCAAAAAACTCTCAATCAGCTCCATATAATTGAAGTTACACCCATCGCAGACTTCCATGGTTGGAAATGAATTTGAATTTCGAAATATGACCCAAAATAAAAATCGAATTGGATTGGGTCAAAAATACAGCGAATTAAACCACAAATCATTTTAATTGGTTGCCCGAAAAAACGCTTTTGATTGGCCGCGTGACGTGTACGGGAACGCATGCGCGTGATGATTTATGAAGGAGACACGCAGTGTGGGAGGTGTGGTAGGCGATAATGGCTGAAGATTAATGGAAGAAAATAGAGAAAAATTTTTATATTCTATCTTCGTTATTATACATTTGCGACAGTAATGTAATAGAAGAAAATTATCTTATAATTAGACGTCTTATTCGAATAAGATAATAGATTAGGGGGTAGGAATGTTGTGTGCAGAATTACAATAATACCAGACTGGTGTGATACTATAAATTCACCGAAAATTATCTTAAAATTATACGTCTTTTTCGAATGATAATAGATTTGGGGTAGGAAAGTTGTGTGAACTACAGTAAAAATACCCCCTTATCTTCTTTTAATAATAAATCCCTCCTGATATTCCCCTCATCATGTCAAAATACCAATCAACATCCTAAATTGTGCTTAAAGTTGAAAAAATATAATTAATTAATCGTCGTATGGGAGTGGCAGCCATAGAGGGTTTCAACATACCCTCACCTTATATCACCTTATTTAACCTCATTAACCTTATTTCCTCATATCTACTAACTCCTTATACTCTTATATTTTATTCTAGGTAGTACTTAGTGGTTAAATAAACCCATAACTCACGAAAATTGCCTCTAAATATGGTAGTCGTGGGAGTCACTTCTGTCAGCTAGACTTTCACATCAGCGAGAACGTCTCTCAGCTGGATGTGACGTGATTTTATGTTAGGTGTACTACCACGAACACTTTCCATGACTTACTTTTTTTATTTTCTCCCTACTAAAACTATACATTATTGATTTTATTGATGGATTATTTTAAAAATCTTATTTTATTATGTTCTAGACGAGGCTAATTTTATTAATATCCTATTGTCTAAAAAATAATTAAAAACACAGAATAACACTGATATCTGTATCCTGTATCTACAGACCTAAAACAAGAAACCTAACTTTATTCAATAAATTATAAATTACTAATAGTATTCTTAAACATAGTTTGTATAACTTAGCTTCAATTAATTCGCATAAAGTGACAGATAAAAAAATACAAAATAGTCTAGGCATTTGTTTACAGTATTTCAGTAACATAGTTTATTTTGCTCACTGGAGATGTTTTTCCCAGTATGCTTGATCTTCTATAATAATTATTACGTATTTAAGCTTTTATTTATATTACGGTCAAGCTTAATTAACACAATATTGATATAAAACACTTTAATTTACTCTCTCTCTCTCTCTCTCTCTCTCTCTCTCTCTCTCTCTCTCTCTCTCTCTCTCTCTCTCTCTATATATATATATATATATATATATATATATATATATATATATATATATATATATATATATATATATATATATATATATATATATATATATATACAGTATATATTGTGGGGTTCAAGATGTTTGGTTCACTCAGGATGGGGTGGAGAAAGGAAACTCACAATGTGCTCTCTATATACATGTTGTATTGGATGTACAATGCAGCTTGGTGCTTGGAAGGCAGCATGGTTACAAGCGTGATGTAGAGAAAGCTGGTTGGTTAGGAGGACCAGCATGTGGGTCGCCATGCTCGCCGGCGGGAGCGAGGACCACCAGGCAGGCGGAGGGGGTGTTGCTGGCTGGTTGGTATAGGTAGAAAAGAGCGATCACGACGAAGTCAGGTCATAAATAGCGGGGGTAGGCGTGGCTTAGTAGTTGACCCCCGCTCCGTGATGTATGGCGGCGCTGGTTGACCTAGACCACGAGGCATACACTGGGGAATTGGTGGGGTCGGCTTCTCAGCGACAAACAGCGTTTGTAGGGGAGAAATCATGAAGGTCCTGATAATGGTTATATACAATATTCAGAAATTTCAGAGTAATTTCTAAAATGCCCCGGCCAAGTGAGTGATACTTTCGGAGCCGCTCAAGGTCATCTGAGGGAGGGAGCTTGCCTGCTCGTGAAGCAGAGACTGTGGAACTAGGCCTATATGATATTAAATGTAATTTACCTAATTAATAATGATGCTTATCTCATGAAGTTATGACTATTATTGAATTTGAAATTATTATAGATCGCTTAGCAGTCTGGAATAATGTTACGGGTGTCCTAAAGGAGTTATTAGTTAGGAAGTGAAAATATATCACGAGGCCCAAGCTAGCGCTTGAGGAGACGCGACGCCATAGGCCCAGTCCCGAGAGCATTCACACAGACAAGACGTCTACACCATCAGAAATAGTCACGCGGCCTAGTCACCTGTGCTGCGCCATTGCAGCAGCAACAAGTAAGTCTCATTCGACCTCAGACAGGGTTAGATAGGGCAGTGATAAAGTAAACTAGAGCTACCAGAGTTCATTTCAGGGTTTCCGCCAGAACCCAATTTGATTGGAGAGAGTTGACTGGAGCTGCTGATTGGAGTTGATTGAGTGACCGGAGTTGACTGGGCGCAGAGATTGACTGCCGCGATGATTGAGGGTGGCGCATTGTCGCCATTGACCGATCAGTGTAGGCCTGTCACCGTTTAGCTGCAGCGCGATCTCTTGAGTGAACGAAAGTGCTCCCGCCACAACTAAAACGACATCGACCCAGCATCGCAGTGGGTGATCAGTTCTTACCACCCGTGCACAACACCACGCGGTCCTCGGTCAGCTAGTGAAACCTCTTGCTAACGGGAAGCCAAAGTTTCTCCTTCAACTGCACAGGGTCTGGATTGGCTCACTCTTCCTGCCTGTGACGCGACTGGGGAGTACACTGAGGCTATCTGAGTATATTAATGGTCACACACTGAGACCGTGGAGTCTAGGGACTCTAGGAGATACCTATAGAGGAACATTTTATCTTCATTATTACGGTGTAGTTAACACCACTCTCAGACTGATATTATCTTGACGCAGTAGTTAATATTTCTAAATACCTTTTTGATAATATTGTTTTGAATGTTTGTGCCATTATGAAATCCAGAGTGATACTGCGGATTGATTCTTTTAATGCATCTGATTGTTCTTCATAATTCTGATCTCAGGTATAACCTTGTTCCCCAGAGTCAGTGGGTTAAGTTAGGGTTAGGCGTGCATCTGTTGGGGTATATAATTTTGCTGGAGTGCCCTAAGGCCTGCCCATTGTAGAGTATTTAATTTCTACCTTTATTACTCATTTCCTCAGTGACTGATATTATCTTGTTGAGTGCCCCTGAGTCTATTCATTGTGGTGAGTATTTAATTTCTTAAATTTTATTACCATTTCCTCAGTGACTGATATTATCTTGCTGAGTGCCCTTAAGGCCTATTCATATTGTAGAGTATTTAATTTTATCTTTTTATTACCATTCCTCAGTGACTGATATTATTTTGTTGAAGACCCTTAAGGCCTATTTATTGTGAGTATTTAATTTTTATTTTTAGTACCATTTCCTGTGACTGATATTAGAAAGCCTTTAAGGTCTGTTCATGTGTGCGCAACATTTTTATCTTCAAATTTATTGTTGCTGTGTTTCTAACAATTTTATGTCATGTATAACTTTTATTCTCTAGAGTAGTGTTTAAAGTTTGGTAAGAGGTGAGTATATTGTTTTACATTATTTGATTGTGTTTGTAGTGTTGAGGGAATATAGTGTCTAAATTTTACAGTGTGTCTCATTCATCCCAGTCACAGACGCTATCCTTCCACGGTCACGGATGTTTATTTTGTAGTAGATTTAAGTGTTCTTGTGCTGGTTCGATTTTCATGTGCGCTTCACTGCCTTTACCATCTATTAAATTTAATAAACCCTAAGTCAAGTGAGAAATTAAAGTCTTGTAAATTCTGACTGTTATATATATATATATATATATATATATATATATATATATATATATATATATATATATATATATATATATATATATATATTTTTTTTTTTTTTTTTTTTTTTTTTTATATTAGTTCTGAATTGATAAGGTAGGCTGAAGCAAACACTTTGTTGGTCTATATTTTATTGCAGAAAAAATATATTCATAGTACTGAGAGTTTAGTTGAGTATATTGTACCTTCTCTGCTGGCGGAAGTGTCTTAGCACTCTACAGGAGAACACTTGGCGAGGTGTCTACTGCAACAGGTGATATGCTGTCTCTCTCTCACACCAGGGAGAGAGG